AAAAGATATTATCAGAATGAGCAAATAAGGCTGTAGTTTCACTTGACTTTTTTAAGCTGTAACAATTGCATTCCATTTCACTCTCTTTCTTCTTCTTCCATCCATAAATTCATTGCAAATGTCAGATAAGGCTAATCCTGCATGTGACATTACTACAGATGGGTACATAGTGGACTTAAACTAGATACTGATTGTCTGGATAATCTGGATAAAAGCTGGTAACTCAAACGAAATCCATTTTGTGTATTACTCCTGCTAACAGTTAAGGTATGAATAAAATCTTTTTCTCCAACACTGCTTTCCATAACTCTCTTACTTTCTTCTTTTTATAGTCGAAAGTTTCTTGTTTTGGAGAGGATTCTTAGACATCTCCCACTGTCCTTCTGCCTCAGGTAAATCATGCACGTATATACAAGTATATGTACAAGATTTGGGAGGAGGGCAGTCACTTTCTAGATAAGAACAGGTTTTCCTTTTTTGCTAAGGTACCTCTGGGTTGAGACTTGACACTTACAGGCACACTTGAACAGTAACTTTAAACTTCATATAAAGATGTTTAATGGAAATATTAGGAAGAAAAAATAGTTCCTGCCTTCTGGTTGTTAGTGGCCTAGAACTCTGACCGGACCTGCTTGGAACCAATTTTTCTGTCTGCTCACAACCAGAAATATCCTGTCTTACATGGAATTTGCTCTGAACATTATGTATCCCTTTTTTGTGAAGCTGTTCTACTAAAACGGATTATAAAAAAGATTAGATCATTTGCTTAATGGTGTTTGTATTCCATACTGGAGGATTCACAAAGAATAGTCAATCTGAAAAGAACTCTGTGTTGAGCAACCATTTATTTACATGAAAGCATCTGATTTGGAGTGTCCCCGTGGAAAACAAAACAAAACAACATGGCTATGACAATATAAATGTAGAGAGAACTCCACTTTGCTTTTCAAAAGTGATATGCTATATTATATGATACTTGTGCCACTGGTACCTATTCTAATGAAATGGGAGGATTCATGGATATAATAGATTTAATAAAGAAACAGTTAAAGGCTGAGAATGGGAGATGGCAAATTTGAACAAATCCACGTAGTGAGGCGTGGTTCTGAGACCGCCAAAACCATGAGGACAGCTGGAAGTTGGGGTGGCAGCTAGAGATGCTAATAAAAGTACTCTCATATACTCAGGTCAAAGGGGATGCCCTTTGACTTCCTTCTTCATTCCTGATGGCCTCAGTGTCTACTCTGTGGAAATCCACAGAGCCTGGATGGCTTCCACTGAGGGAAAATCTAACTATTCCCTTCATGTATGGCAGTGATAGATACTGCTGTCTGTGGCCAAATAATTCTCTGCAAATTGTTAAAAATGTTGAAAAGACCAATCTGTATTTACTTTGTAGAGCATAGTACAAGAATGTCAGGCACAAGCCTCTTTCAGGGCGATCAGTAAAAGCATCCCAGCCAGATATTTTCTGTCGTTGAGATATAGATATATAAAAATAAATAAATATATAGATATGCACTGTGATCACATGCCATCGTAATTGCTGTACATTATAGGATCATAAACCTTTATAGGAGTGAGGGTAAATACTTCGATCTGAAAGGTTAGCCAAAGGAAGGCAAAATTACTGCAACAGTTGCATAAAGGTGAAAGAGGTACTCGCATGAAATTACCTGAAGTGTTGTGATCAAGGAATCAAACTCTTATGTGTTTTGTGGCAAATGAGGTCCTGGTTGGATGATATACATTACACTAAATACTGTGATTAATAGGCATAATGTTATTTTAATGTTTGTGGTTATCAAAGAATGGAAGCAATAATTGGACCTAATTGATAGCACTGTTTGAGTAACCTTTGACAATTACTTTTTTAAATGTAAATTTTTAGACTGTGACTTTAAATGATAGCAGTTCCTTGATGATTTATTTTAGAGGCTTATAAATCTATGGAAATAAAAAAACATTCTTTTAATGACTGAGTAGAAGTGGTTTAAAGACCTATACGTAGGGCAAAGACTTTGCCACCATCTGTTCCATGTTGGAAGAAATGTCAAATTCAGCAGTGCTGTATCTTGGATGTTGTAGGTTTTGAAATGCCATTTCAGCATGAAAAAGTCTGATTCATCAAGACAGAAACATCATTTCCAGAAATGCTGTTTAGTGGAGTGTGCGTATATGGAAAACATGTCCTAGTATAGAGAGGGTCCTGCGTTATGGGTGTTTTATGATTCACGTATCTATAATTCATCTTTTGCTTTTGAAACTTAACACATGTTCTAGCTACACTGATATGTGTATTTGCTTATTATAGTTAATGGATTATTCATCCTCTTTGTCCTTGACATAATCCTAAGTATGTGCATAAAACTCTGATCATGTTGCCCATAAAAACCAATCAGCCCAGAGTTGTTCTGCAAGGTGTTGAACATTCACCCAGAGCAGATGGTAAAGATAATGTTTAATAAAGAGTTAGAGGATTAGTTGGAACAGAAATAAGCTAAGAGAAAGGGATCATTTCATTTCATATGAAACTCCATGACATTTCATGTACCTAAGGACTGATTAAAATTGCACCAAAAGCTGCTCTTTTTGGCCAGTTTGTCCTAATACTGACCCTGCTTATGTTGTCAGCTGCATGTGTTACTTTACTATTCTGTGAATAACTCAAAAGAAAGCTTTTCTGGTTCTCCTGTGGCTAGCAAAAGTAATTCTTAATTAAATAAGAATAGGAGAGGAGATAGGATTCTGCTAAATGTGTTGAATATAGTTAAGCAACTGTTAGCTCTACTGAGGTTTAGAAGAAAGGCTTTCTAGGTCATTTAAACATAGGTTCATTTTAATGGTAGTTTTCGTAATGTGTAGAGTTAAGCTTTGGATTACCTCCAATATTTAGATGTTGAATGAAAAACAGATCAGGGCATAGCGTAAAAATAATGTTTTAGCCTTGTTTTAAGAGAAAGCAATTTTGCCATTAAAAAGGTGTAGTGGAATAACAAAACCTATAAATTTTACATATTGTGTAATGTTTATAATAAAGCCCTAAACCCAGAAGTAAGCAAATCAGCCCTGATCTAATCAGACAGCAGAAGTATTTTGCAGTTAGAGTATTTCTTGGCACAGGGTTGTCCTCTAGCATTATATATCACTTTAATTCAGAAGCTTTGACAAAGCCTATCAGGTAGCGGTGCAACAGAAGCCCCCTAAGTGTAATCTGCTGGTAAATGCAATGTCCTTCGGTTTGATTACTGAATTTAAACTCATTGAGCCTGTTCTCATAAGGACGCAGAAGTGCTTAGAAGAAAGCATTTGGAATGGCTGCTGGGAAATGGAAGACAAGGATTTATTTGAAGACTTATGACACAGGATAGGACAAGATCAAAATCCAAGCTACCATCTTGGTTGCCTAGTTCAAACTGTCTTTAACAGTAGAGCACTGCTAGCTGTTCTGTAAAGAAGAAAACCCCAAATACTGTAAAATCAGTGTAACTGCCTTTGCACTGAAGTAGACCAAAACCTCAAATCTATCAAATTCTCTCAAAGCTTGATGGCTTGGATAATAGCACTACGTATTAGTTTCAGAATTGAGCTGAAATCTCAAAATGTGATCCAGGCTTTCTAGCCACCTCCTGCTCTTTACTTAAGACAGTATTTGACCATAAAACCTACTGTTGCTGCCGTTTTATACCTGAACTTGTGCTTCTGGTGATTTTGCCATTTATTCGCTTTTGAAAATGTTTTATATGGTACCTCCAACAACAGTGTTTAAAATAGTCTGTAATAGCATAAAAATATTAAGAAGCTGCTAAGGATTAACTAGAAATAAATGAAACTTTAATTTTACTGGCTTTAGTGTTTGAAAACTGCTAATTGTTGTCAAGTAGTTTAGTATGAAAGTACCTAGTAAAATTATTTCCAAACCTCTTTATGTTTGCTAGGTATTTATCTATGCTTCATTACAGCCACTTTTTGAAACCACAGTGGCAAGAATAAAGCTCAACAAGAAATCTGTCAGCTGATACACATTATCAAAATCAGATAATGCAGCTTGCAAGCAGGGATTCTATCACACAGTTGAGATGAGACATAGATAAGTCTAAAGTAAGTTACAGCTTTATCTCAGCATAACCTTGAACCAGATGCCCTTTCCAGACCCCTTCAGTGCTGTGCAATGTTTGTGGTGCACTACTGCTACGCAGTAACAAACTGCTAAAATTGTCAAAATTCAAGAAGGGAGGGAAGAGGCCTTAGAAAGCAAGGTATTAAACAGATCTTTCAAGATATCATTTGGATCTTAAATGTTTTTTAATTGCATGCACACACACACAAACCTACATTAAGTGAATTTTGCCATAGAACAAGAGATTAAAGTATAAGGGAACTTTGTTGAGTTAGACCTTCCCAACTCAGTTATTCTACTGACTTCTCTGTTAGTTGAATAAAGATCACACACTGAAATGCACTGCCAAGCAGATAATTTATTTTTAACTTTTTCATATTTTTTTCCATTGAAATAATATTCTCACAATAAAAAACAGAAATGAATGGGTAAATATTTTAATTCTTTCCCAGACTAATGCACATTGCACATACTACTTTTCCCCATAGGGAAGACAAGCCAGGAGCAGGAATATTTGTCAATGCTTTTTTTAATGACAAAAAAAGCTCTCATTTTTTATCTCATTTTAAGCCAGATGAACTCCAAAATAATAGGATCTACCACATATATATAAAAGCAAGAGTATAACTAGTCTCTTTCTGTCTCACTGCTGAGTTTCTTGCTGAAGATATGTTTTACCCATCTTCTAGGACCTAATGGAAGCTAATGTCACAGGTGCATCTCAGCCCGTAGTCACAGGTGTTTCTATTTAAAAGAATATGGGGTGACTCAGTTCCTGCTGCACCTGTAAACTGTTAAATTAGCCCTAACCAGAGTGGTCTGGTCCTCCTGGCTGCAATGGAGAGCAGCAGAGAGCTTTAGGATCAGCGCTGGTTCTTCCTTTGTGTGCGATGGAACTGCAGAACAGTGCTCAGCCTAAGGAGGAAGGTAGGGGCGCATTTGGGTTCTCTTTCCTTTTGTCCAGCTTGGGATGGATGTTAGTTGTCCTGCTGAACCTACTTTCTAGGTAATACCCTAAAATTCTGCCCCTGTATTGCTTGCTTATAGAAAAATAATAGGCAATCTGCTCTTTTAATTTGGAAGAGGCTGGAAGGAAACCCACAGTCACCTGGAGTAAGCTATATTTTTTTCCCCCAGCACTTGTGGTTTCTGCCTTTTCCAGATGTGCAAAAAATTGCTAGTGCAGAAGAGGAACTAGCAAAATCCATTAGGAAAAGAAATTTGCAAGGATTGATGTTCTTTCCATGTATCAAAACAGAGCTTCTTAAAAAATAGTGAAATTAGGAATATGTTGATATTTCCCTGAGGTTAAGTGAGGGAGTAGGATGTGTCTGCAGTTGCTTACTTGTTTGTAGTTTCCTGAGAAAGAAAAAAGAACAAAATTCCTTTGGCTTTTGTTTCGCTTTTAAAAGCTCTGCCTCTTCTGAACACAGGCAAATGTTTATGTAGGAAAATCAAGCCTATTACGTTTCTAATACAGAAAGCAATGCAAGTGTGATGCTTGTAGTCTTTAGCAGATAAATATTTACTGGAGGCCCAGATTTTTCTCAGCTGTGTTCCTATTGATATAGCAGAGCTACTACTTGTGAGACTAAATGTGCTGGATTTGATTTTGCTACTGGTTGCCACTTCTTGCATTTTCTGAGCATGAAAAGTTATACCTTTAACAAGTGTCCTTTGTAGATCCTAGAAGACAACAGTAAGAGCTAAACAGAGTCTCCACGGTGGCTCGTGTTTGCTTCACAGATCTCTTGGGTCCCTGTTGCTGCTTATCATTTCTGTCAGATGCTAAAAAGGTGACAAAAGTGGAAGAAAGTGCAAACGAAAGCCGCAAAGGGTAGATAGTTGCTCTGTGTACCTTTAAATGGCATTATTTAAGCTGCTTGGCCTACCTGGAAATCAAATTGAAAAGTGATTTGAATGGAGCGTGGCAGGAATAGGTATACTTATGAGTGCTAGTATGGAGTGGAATTGTCTATCAAAACTAAGGAAATCATACAAGTAGGGAATTATATCTTATTTAAAAATCATCTACTAATATGTATGTAGAATATAAGTATCTCATTGTCTAGCTTGGTAGAATGGTTTGGAGAAAATATCATGTGAATCAGTAACAGTAAAGCTTTGACTTTGTAAAATTGAGAGCCATATATTAAAAATCAAAATAAGAAGAGGCAAAGCAGGAGTTAACATATGGCAAGATTGCTTAAGGTGAAGAATACAATTTCTCTTTTAAGGGAATGATCTTTTGTTACTGAAGCAGAGTTTGGTGATACCAACACAGGGCAATGCCATGGAGAGAGAAGATAAATTTAGATTGAATGATTTCTCAGTTAAACGGGGACCAACGGGGAGTTTATAATAAAACAATTTACACTCGCTTTGGAATATGACAATGGCAATTTTTCTTGTGCTGAAAACAAACTATTACTGATGTATGTTTGTGACCCAGCAGGAAGTTTTCTAATACAGACTCTTGCCACATTTATTCAGTAGCAGATGTAATTTGTCCAACTTGCCTAGTAGTATATAATATCATGTATTATTACTCCTGTCACATCTTTCTATGATGCCTAAGTTCCAGTGAAAGATTTAGAATCCCTTGGAATTCCTCAGAAATGACATATGTCCTTCAGTTTTAAAGGTTTAGTTCTTAAAGAATTAGAATCACTTCTCTGGTTTTAGAAAACGCTTGATACTAGGAGTATTGATATTACTCATGTTTTATATTTCCCGTGTCAGCAGGAGGGAAGGATGTCAGTATTGAGGAATCCAAAGTCTAAGGTCCAAGCTTCTGTCTGCATGTCAGACAGGGCCAGATGGACTGAACTGTTGGGTGGGTTTCAAGACCCCTTTTGTTCAGAGGGAACTAGGAGCCCTCCCGCAGCAGAGACAGTTCTCTGACTTTCTTGCTTCCTAGGTGCTACCAAGGGAATGGATTCTGCACTAGAGAAACAGCTGGTTTCTGTGTTACTCTTTATTATTATTATATCTGTAAACATTCTGGTTATATCTTCTGATCCCGAGGAAGTCGTTGTAGGAAGCTGTGAAAAAAATTATCCAGGATTCAGGGCATTTTCACAAAAGAGGGATTACCACAGTAGTAAGTGGGTGGGTAGGCAGCTCAGTGACCCTGCTCCGTCCCACTCACAGAATCACAGAATATTCAAGGTTGGAAGGGACCTCTAGGGATCATCTAGTCCAATCTTCTTGCTCCAGCAGGCACACCTAGAGCATGTGGCACAGGGTGGCATCCAGGCAGGTTTTGAAGACCTCCAGAGAAGGAGACTCCACAACCTCCCTGGGCAGCCTGTTCCACTCCCTTTCTCTGTATGGCTGTTTTTTAATTCCCTGATCCTCACAGCTCACTATGATAGATAAATTTCATCGTCTCTAGATTCTCTTAATGAAAGTTTCATACACACTGTAAAAATATTTACCCCTTTAGAAGAATGGGGTAAATATTCCCATCTCTTTTTCCTTCCCTCTTTTATTTCTACTTATTTCTACTTCTGAGAAAAGTATTTCCCCCTTCTGGGGAGGAGGAATAAGAAAGAGCCAGAAAGTTTGGAATACCATCATTCAGCTGTGAAATGGAATGATTCATGTGTGTATTATGCAAAAGAAAAATATCCATTGACTTTTTTCTTTTTTCCTGTTAAAAATCTCAAATCTGTTGTTGGATCATTTAGATATTGCTGCATATAGGACAGGTGAATTAAAGCATAATTCACAAATAAATATAAAATGCTTATTTGAGTGAAATTTAAATATACAGAGAAAAGGAACCTGCATATGCAAGCCATACTAATTATTAAACTAAAACAAATATTGCTTAGACCGATTCAGTTATTAAACTTTGATACAATCTCTTTGGAGCTACGCTGCACCTGGTAGAGGTAGAAATACAGCCTTTAATAAAAGGAAAGAAATTATTTACCTCTGTCTCTGGATCCAATGTAATTGAGGTGCTTGTGCTGTCCTGAGTGAAGGAAAAGATGCTTATTCTGCACTATATATAGATTCTTCTACTGTGTTCTTTTACTGACTTTTTTTTTTTTTTTTTTTTTGAGAACTGTGTTCAGAAAAAAACAGTATGTCTGGTCAAGAGAAGCTAGCCATCTTCTCTCAGCAGCTCCACTTGGGTGCTTGGGGAGTAGAGGTGGTGCCGGTTCCTCCTGCTTTGAGCAGTGTGGCCGCAGGGATCTCTGCATGGTGCAGCTCTGTGTCACCCTGTCTGCAGGTAGCTGAAAGCCCAGACCTTTAATGGCACAAATGAACATGCAGTTCAAAGAGTGTGATTTAGTAACAGAGTTATTTACAACTGCTAATGTTAGAATTTCCTCAAATAGAAGAGGTTTTGAGTCACTCATGCCGCTTTGTTAAAGTCAAATTTTGTCAAAGACCGTTCTGTTACGTATGAAGACTTGTAGATGGCAACGGGCTGCTCCAGTGCTGAGTTCACATGATATTGAAGTGTGGCAATATCTTGATGATATTATTGTGAGTGCACTTGGCAACTGGTGTGTCTCAGCACAGGAACACAGCCTTCCTAGTGAGACACAGTAACAATTTGCCTGTCAGAAAAAGGATTTGTGTTTTTTTTTTTCTTTTTTTCCCTCTAAGTAACATTGTGTTACTGTTAAAAACATAGACTGCATAGACCAAAGGACTAATGAATTTAGGTCCAGCATTATCATGTTAGATGTGTGTTATGTTTGAGAGCAGTGGTGTGGGGTGGAACTCACTCTGGGATGAAACAATTCAGGTGTGCACGGATCCTAGGATTGCTGGAGGCAGTGGAGGTGTCTGTGTGTTCTTCTCCTGGCCCATAGAAGCTGTGAGCAATTCGGGACGTAGCTGGGGCAAAGGTAGGAATCTTCAGTGGAGACCAGAAGAGTTGGGCATTGCAGTTCTGGTGCAAGTTTTGTGAGCAACTTCTCTTAGCAACTCTGAGCCATGCTTCGTGTAAAGCTCTGTTTTGCACTCCCTCTTTAGGTCCTGAGCCCAAAAATTTGTGCGTGATTCATTTTAAACGCGGTCCTGTGGATTTCAGTAGGGCTACTTAAGGCTGAAGTTAGGCATGTGTTCAGAGTCAGAGCCTTAGGTGAGACTTGTGTTTCTTTTGATGGGAGTTTTACCTGTGTGCGGACTGAGGACATGTTGCAAAACCCACCTTTGACACTCCATGTGGACTACTGTAACTTGGGAAAAGTTAACTTGGTGACAGAAATGTCTATTGCAACTGCTTGTATCCTCATCAGGTGCAATGCTGTCTTACTATTAAAATTTCGTGTTCTGGGTTGATATTATGATGCATGTAGTAACTGCTGTATAACTATTAATGCCATCGTTCTGAGCTCTCTCTGCTGCTTTTGGATTATTTCATTTGCTGTGTGACTGAAGGGATGGTACAAATACTCCATGTATGTGTTTTATATCACTGTATGAATTGTTTTATAACCACTGTCTCACTTTGCTGTATTGCTTTGCTCTGTTGTGAGGTTTGGTCTGTTCCTTACAAAATCAACCAGGATGACTTTGAATACTAAAAGACAATAAAACCACTCACCACCCAGATGTTCAGAGTTGTGTGCTAAGCGTGAACTGGAAGTACTGGTCAAAAGCTAATGGTGTTATGTGGCTCAAACCCCCAGATTCTGGAGTGTTCAAATAAAGCCAGTTTCAGGTTAGTTTTGTCACTTCAAGCAAAACCAGAGCTACTGCACATTGGTCTAGGTGCAGAATCTGCCAGAGACCTGGGCTTTGGAGGGTTCCCTTAGTTTATAACATTGACATTACCGATGACAGTAAGAGTAACTGACAGTATATAATGACATGAATCTAGATACTGCGGTCTCTATTTGAATAAGTGTTTCTTGAAGTGAAAACAATTTTGTATTTTTGGGAGAATATGTCCCGCACTG